AAGCTATGGGAACATTTCTTTGCAAAGTATTTTTAATGTGGTTCAGTATACTATGTGTGATGCAATAAGCGTAGAGCATTAATTAAACCTACGATAGTAATAGAATCAGATTTTACAGTCATATAATTTAACTTTCTTCGAAACACAATGTTCATAATTAAACTGTTTTTTTCCTAAGCAAAAAAGGAAGATTTTCAGAATTTATAATACGCAATTTGAAATAAATCAAAAATCTTAATGCAATAATATCTCGGAAATATATTTTTTTATTATCTCTGGTCCAAGGAGGTTTTAGTTGATTCCCATTTATGTTTAAAGTCAACTTCGCCGAACTACTTTAATTCTTATTATTTTAAAGCATGTAACTGCTTGATGTTTAAATCTAAAGAAAATATAACTAGAAAAAAATCCTAGCGGACGAGGCAGCAGACGGGACTCGAACCCGCACCCTTCGCAATCCGATAATAAAAATTATAACTGTAATTGCTATTTCTTCTTTCAAATGTTTAATACTTGTAAAAATATTCATTTGACATTGTGGGTTACCTATAATGCGAAGAGATGGCGCGGCCTTGCAGCTTAAGAATGGCTAGAAGAATTTCGGTCCGTGAGGGCCGCGGTAGCATAATTGGTCAATGCGTTCGCCCGGATTGCGAAGGGTGCGGGTTTGAGTCCCGTCTGCTGCCTGGTCCGCGTGGAATTTTTTCTAGTTATATTTTCTTTAATTTAATTCTCTTAAGGCATACTAAGTAAATAATCAATGTTGAATCCGTTTAGAAGAGTCAAATTATGAACTGAATATCAACTGATCCCAAACATTTTTTCACCTACGTTCAAGTATTTAATCAAATTCAAAGTGTGACTTTTGAGTTATGCGATGCGATAAAACAAAACAATATATTAGCATAGATAAAACAATAAAGTCAGCACACCCATCTCAATAAAACATGAAACAATGGGCATCGGAAACATTAGGAGATCCATAGATAAGGGCGATCAAAGGCGTCGTATAAAAATGATATTTTCGAACATCACAAAAACATATCAATTTACATAATGGTCTGATGTGGTTTTTTTCTCTCGCTCGTATGATTGATATCGTAATCATTTGTCTCCTTCCGCCACTAGTATCTGCGAAGTTCATTCATGGATAAGCATCTTGCAAGATACGGTAAATATAGTCTATCTTACTAAAGACAATGTGACCAAGGTTTTGTTGTTATTTCTATTCGATAATGAAGATTTTTTAAATTGAAGAACAAACCCCATCACATATCCGCACTATTAAGTTTGGCATAGCACACACAAGAAACATGGATAAATAGACAAAAATCACAAAATTGAATTAAATAACGATGCTATTCTATAATCTAGTCTAGTCTAAACTTACACCGGAAGACTTCAACTGGAAAATATAATTTTACTTCAGGCAAAAAGTAAGGCTACAGCCAAACTTCGGCGACCTCCGTGGCCGAGTGGTTTCATGGTGTCAGTCCAGTAATGGATGTTTAATATGTATTTCTATATAAATATTATATATGTACAGTATATGTATTCTTTGTTACCCTAGCATTCCATAACACAAGCCTTACATTGCTTACTATGGTGCTAGTCTAATTGGTGTATGTTACAAAAAAAAACTCTTCAAACTTCAAATGGTAGAATAAATGGTGCTTAGCCCATTGAATAAAAGTATGAAAAAAGCATCCTGCTACTGACAGGCGCGACTGAACATGTATCTTAATAATGAAAAAACAAAGAAGTTTAATGAATATAGGTACACAACGCCTATACTCAAGCTGACTTTCCATATATCGTGGTCGTCTGACATAACCTCAGGCAGGCCGTCCTTGAGCGTGAGACGCCTGATAGAAATCTAGTCCACTGGGTGCTTTATGAATGTGTGAGTACACTTATCAGTCGCCACTGTGAAGCGTAGCTGATGGACGTGCCTGATAGTTTGTTTGGACCTTAACGTGGCACGCATCTACAGCGTCTGTGACATATCTTCGCAAATATCGCACTTACAATGGGGTCAGTGCTACTGTACAAAATTTCATGTCCTAATTTGAAAAACAAATTCTAGCTTATGCCGATATCAAGTTAGAATTCTTTACTCACTTGAATGAATAAGTAAATATATTCGGTCGGGAGTTGACGTCAAAAGACTTTGTGCATGTACAGAATGTCCCAAAACTTTGCCATATGGAGGGAAAGTACCTAAAATAGTGAAGATAGATTTTTTTGCAGAGAGAAGTACCTATTCATTTTAATTTTCAAAACAATATAAAGAATTTTGAAAAATATCTTACCGGTAATATTATTACACCCTGTGTATATTGCGGTCGCTTATCGCGGCGCACTTTCACGGCCGGCCTTCCGCGGCGCAGCGCAAGGTTGGCGACACTCCGGCTAGCGCGAAGCTCAGATATGCCAACAACGCAACACTTATGCCGCATCGCCTCGCCAATCGCCAACACAACTTCGCGATAACGGCTGTTTGCAAATCTCCAAACGTAATTTCTACAAATGGCAAAGTATTAACGCTGATCATATATAATATTGACTATTACTTCATTGCGCACAAGATTAGTCTAGTATTTACTCATTGCTATACTTCGATCAACGATTCTATAGATAACGGGTCAGCGCGTAAAATCCGTCTCGGTAAGTATAGCCTCACTTGAGGCATGAGATTTTATTTTAAACTAGCGGCCCGCCGCGCCCTCGCTTTGCTTCGGTGTAGAGTTACTACAGTTTTTGTTCTCAGGCTTGTATTATACACAATGACATTCATCTCTGATTCTTCTTATACCTGCATGCAAAGTCTCAGCCCGATCGGTTTAAAATTGACAAAGTTTCATACAAACTTTCATTCCCTATTTTATCCCCTTGGGGGTAGAATTGATCAAAATCCTTTCTTAGCAGATACCTACGTCATAACATCTACCTGCATGCCAAATTTCAGCCCGATCCGTCCAGTGGTTTGGGCTGTGCGTTGATAGATCACTATGTCAGTCAGTCACCTTTGAGTTTTATATATATAGATAGATTAGTTCGGTTAATACAAAACGTAGTAACTCGCTAGCCAATGACTGGTAAAAATATTTTATTTTCTGGGTCATAAGATTGATGTCACATTTTCCTCTTTTCACCTTTATCGTTATTTTCCAAGTATCAGATATAATTTATAAAAGGAACAAGAGTTCGTTTTATAAGATAAAAGGTCGTATGTGCAAAATAACATTATGTTATTTGTAACCTTATCCCCACATCATTATCGTATATAGTTGTTATGAGGTTCAACTTAAACTGTTTTAAAACATTTATCTTTGTTCATTGGGAATCGAATGTAGCTGCATAAGTTTAAATATACGTGGACAGTTTTTAGCTTTGATTTTGTATGCAACCCGTTATCTAAGGAATTCTAGTTGATCGAAGTTGCTATACAAGCGTTTGAACAGTCAAGGGAAATCGAGGGGCTAGACTAGCTGCAATTATCGAATTATGAAATCTGTTTTATTATCAACTGGAAATGCAGTTTAATATTGATCACAAATCATTCGGCCACAATCGTACCGGTGCGGTGCGGTGGACCGATCAAGATATCTGTCCAAATGAAATAGTTTCCATTAGATTTCGCGCAATGCCGCCTCGGTGCGTTATCAATCAATTTATCTATCGTTTGCCGGCCCGCAGACGGCAGATTTGTTGACCCACAACCACCCGGACCGGTTGCCAGACTCAATGGACGCGCGTTTCAACTTAATACGTGTTATAATTGCTTACGTATTAATAAAAACATGTTTATTAATCTTTTATAACGGCAAACTTTGTGCTGTACTTTTAAATCAGGTTCGAGAATATATCTACCGATACTGTTTCGAATCAGTCATTATTTTTATAACTGAAACGTTTTAGCTACTTGTAGCTACAGTTAACGTACCTACGTAATTATACTTGATTTACTTTTGATGACATATCATTAAAAGTAAATCAAAAGTATAATTACGAAGTTACCCCTTTAATTTATTTGAAAAAAAAAAGTCGTGTCGATTTCATAGCTCGATCGTGACTAAGACAATTTAGTGTTGTAAACATACATTCTTTGGACTGGTTCTGGCTTAACAACGACCTAATGTCAATTAGCCATATCGCAGCGTGACAGGAAATTCACTTCGAGTCTGGGTAATGCGGCGCTAACGAGTCACAACAATTCCTGCTCGAACACGCACCAACTATAAATTGCCGGTAACAAGAACAAAATGTTACCATCTGGACGCACCTGGCTCGGTAAATGTCTGCTGGAAGTTATTTACTTACTCCAGCATCGATAAATGTCCTTTGAGAATATTTACAATATGGACTGCTCTAATCAGTGTGGTGTTATAGAACAGTAAATTTATTTCATTATTTGTTAGTAATTTGCGGAAGAAATCATGTCATAAAAACAATTACAAAAGATTATCAAAGATCTTTAATAAGTATTCAATTATGTTAGTCTACTTTTGATGACAGTTACCCTAAAAATCGAGAAAAAAACCAATTCGATATTTTGTGGTGTAATGTATCCTTTGAGTTCATCCAAATCGCCTTATTCAAGTATTTATTGAACTTTGCCATTTTAAACTTAAGTAGATTTTGGTATATTCTAACTAGGGTACTGTTAACTACACTATAAAGAATAAGTATTTTATTAAACTTTTTGGATCCCGTTAATCCTGGGATCTCCGACGTCACCCAATACTGCACACGATGTACCTTTCCCTTATTATTTAAATTTTACTTTATTAATTAGTGTAAAGATTCTTAACGTGAATAAATTACTATAATACTCTACAATAAACTGGTTAACTTATCATTCTCCTAAAAATAAATAGGTGTCAAAATCTCATAAAAACTCCTTTGAATGATGCAATAGTCATCCCAATTCTACCATTGTTCTTTTAGTAACTTAGGCAAAGCGGAGGGCAATTATTAAATTCCATTTCTGTTCACAGGCGGGCCTGCTACGAACGGAGCATGGTGAATTCTGGATCGAGCCATCCAACCAAAAACCCTCCGATAACAATGAAGCGAGACCGCATGTTATTTTCAGAAGATCTGCGGTCGATAAAGTGAAGGCGTATCATAGAGCTAAGAGAGAAACGCAAAGGACACATTCCGATAATTCTAACAGCAGCCATAGCAAAAACTCCCAACGTACGAAAACACACGAAACTTCGAGAAGTCAACTAGAGCACAAAATGGCTGTGGATCGCCGCCGAAGGGAATACCTAGAAGCGAGGCGAAGACAGTTAGAAGCGATGCGAAGAAACCCCACCGAATACAGAAGACACCAAGCCAGATTGCGCTTGGAGCAACGAAGGCTAGCGTCCAACTCGAGGAGTATGTCGACAGAGAGTAAATCCATCGAACACAATATTGCAACAAGAATAAAGAATCGAAAAAACCAAAACAACGACCTTAGACCGCGTCGTATAAAGAGCAGACGCAGGAGGCGCAAGCGATCTAAGAACTGCGCGACGAAGCAACCTCCATACCAATGGAAGACGAAAAACTTGGAGAGCCATGAAATCGAGGCACATAAAAGAATGCAGTATAATAAGGTAAGTGAAAGAGTTGGAGTAGCGCGTGTCTTTAAAGCAATAGGGCTCCAATTTTAGACATTAGTTAAATATGCATTACGTCATTACAGTGCTAAATGTCGCAGTAATATTTGTATCAGTCTCTTCAGTATAGGTCAGTACAATATATTTGACTATCGTCAATAATTTGAATTAGAGGCATCGAAATTGAGATTGCATTTGATAGAATCGACGCGCAATTTACATGATTAAAAATGTAAGGGAATGGAATTCCATTTACGAATAGTGAGTCAAAAAATCTGAAGCTAGGTTAGTAATTAGTGGGATAGCAACCCTGTTCAGTTCAATTACTCCATGATCGGTACTTGCCTTAATATCGTGCACTAGCAAAAAACAATGTTCATGGTAGCAATCCCACAAATAACTTTTGTTGCAACCATGAAAGCTTAAAACAATAAAAGGGTAACCGCCAAATTTTTGGCACTATTAAAATTATTAGCACTTTTAAGTTTACTTCAAAAAAAACAAGGAAATATATTCCTATATAATTAGCAGCATTAGCAACTATTCCGATAATCTATTGTTTTCTTCAAAATACCAATAATTGGAAAAGCTTCAATGATTTGATGGTTTCTAGCTGCCTGTTTCGTTTTCCCAGTACACGCATAGAGGCAACCATCGTCAGCACCCGAACAGCAGGGAGGCCGGACGGCGATCGACGCGGTCGGTCAGCAAGCCGCGTCACGTTGAGGTGCTGCTGGTGGCAGACCGCTCCATGACTGACTTCCACGACGCCAACAACCTGGAGACTTATCTCCTCACTATCATGAACATGGTGAGTGATCGCTTTACTAATGTCCCCACTGCTGGTGCTCACCAGAGAGAATGAGCCAGAACCTATCATGAGGACACCGTGTGGTTTGAGATGGATACTCATCATCGTCAGCCTATTAATATCCCCACTGCTGGGGCATAGAATTCGCTATGGATGGAAAAGGGAGATTGGGTCATGAACTACCACGCAGACCCAGTGCGGATTGGCGGGTGCTAACGACTTCAGATGCTTCCAGAACCAACGGCTTAACGTGCCTTCCGAAGCACGGAGGAAATTAAGTTGATTTTTAGTCATCCATCCAATGACCGACCACTGCGAAAGTTGCTTGACTCCAACGATCGCAACCAAACGCGCTAGCCACCATCGATCGCCATCGAGCACCTCAATCTCCTCTGGGATGGAAGCTAAGGACTAAAGATACAGCCTGGACCAAGGGCTTAACGTGGAGGTCCTACTGGTGGCAGACCGCTCCTTAACCGACTTTCACGACGCCAACAACCTGGAGACTTTTCTCCTCACTATGATGAACATGGTGAGTGATCGCCTTACTAATGTCTCCATTGCTGATGGGCAGGGGAAATCAATCATGACCCACCATGAAGGTCAAATTTGAGATAGGTGCTATAGACTGCAAATACAACTTGGCAGTGAATCGTGGTCATTTACTATGGGTCTCATTGGACGGCTCAAGGTCGCCCAGCGGGCAATGGAGAGAGCTATGCTTGGTGTTTCCCTGCGTGATCGAGTCAGAAATGACGAGATCCGCAGGAGAACTAAAGTCACCGACATAGCTCGAAGAATAGCCCAGCTGAAGTGGCAGTGGGCGGGACACATAGCGAGGAGAACCGATGGCCGTTGGGGCGGAAAGGTTCTCGAATGGCGACCGCGTGCCGGACGACGCTCAGTGGGAAGACCCGCTACAAGGTGGACCGACGATCTGGTGAAGGTCGCGGGAAAACACTGGATGCGGGCAGCGCAGGACCGATCGTTGTGGAGATCCTTGGGGGAGGCCTATGTCCAGCAGTGGGCGTCATACGGCTGATATGATGATGATGATGATGACAACTTGCACCAACGGCTTAGCGTTCTTTATGGAGCGACCTGTCTGCAAACCAAGTTGTGCCTACTTGGTGGCAGACCGCTTCATGATCGACTTCCACGACGCTAACAACTTGGAGACGTACCTATCTCCTCATTATCATGAACATAGTGATCGATCAATTTTAAGTTACACGTTAAGATTAAAGTCCCATTTACTAATACGTTCTAGAGGGTTAGAGTGAAAACTAGTATTCATATAGTATGAGTAATATGCATTTCTATACACTCGTAGCATTAATTTGTAACGAAGAAGGAGCATTATACTTTTCCGATAGAATCATTTATCATCAATAATCTTTATGAGGGTAAAAAATAACAATTGTGTACTATTATTAATTTCATCAGGTATCATCCCTGTACATGGATCCTTCGATCGGCAACTACATAAAGGTTGTCGTTGTGAAGATCATATTCGTTGAGGAGATGGGAGCCGCCCCTGACCTGGAAGTGACCACTAATGCAGACACCACGCTGCAGTCGTTCTGCCGGTGGCAGCAACAACTCAACCCTGACAGTGACGACAACCCACACCACCATGACGTGGCCATCTTGATCACCAGGGAGGACATATGCAGTCAGCACGGCAACCCTTGTAGGTATGGAGATGATTCTTTGCTCTTAATTTTAAATTATAAAGATCATAAAGAAAATATAACAAGAAAAAATTCCACGCGGACCAGGCAGCAGACGGGACTCGAACCCGCACCCTTCGCAATCCGGGCGAACGCACTGACCAATTATGCTACCGCGGCCCTCACGGACCGCGTCGAAATTCTTCTAGCCATTCTTAAGCTGCAATGTAGCGCCATCTCTTCGCATTATAGGTAACCCACAATGTCAAATGAATACTTTTACAAGTATTAAACATTTGAAAGAAGAAATAGCAATTATAGTTATAATTTTTATTATTTTAAAGCATTTAACTGCTTGATGTTTAAATCTAAAGAAAATATAACTAGAAAAAATTCCACGCGGACCAGGCAGCAGACGGGACTCGAACCCGCACCCTTCGCAATCCGGGCGAATGCACTGACTAATTATGCCATCGCGGCCCTCACGGACCGCGTCGAAATTCTTCTAGGCATTCTTAAGCTGCAAGGCAGCGCCATCTCTTCGCATTATAGGTAACCCAAAAAACAATTATAACTATAAAGATCATATTCGTTGAGGAGCTAGGGTGACTATGACAGCGGATACCACGCTGCCGTCGTTCGCCCGATGGTAGCAGCAGCTCAACCCTGTCAGTGATGACAACCCACATCACCAGTGACAATTTTGTTCACTAGGGAGGACATAAATATACAGCCAGCACGACAATCCTTGTAGATATGGAGATGATTCTTTGCTATCGTACGATTATTTTCAGTTCTACAACATAAGCATGATCTATCTTTTATAAAACCGTATTTGCAAATAACCCAAACACAAGCAATGGTAACTTAGAGAGGCTTTAGCGTTCCTGCTTATTGGAAAATCCAATATAAATATTCATAGGAGTGGTTTCAGTTTAAAAGAGGAAAAAAAATTCTTTTCAATGTGCATTTTGCGATGTCTAACATAATGTTAATTTTGCGCAAATCAATTGGAGTGGTTTTATCTTGTTCGTTATATTCAACCACTACCACTCTACGACAACTTCGTTGTATTTTCATTCTTGAGAAACTAATGAACGTCAGGGAATTACGAATAAAAATACAATGTACGTAACAATAAAAGTCAGGAATCGTATAAAAAAAAGTCGTGCACTTTCACGACAGGCAGACATTGCTCAAATACTCGAAACGCTCGCGGCCGCGAACTTCCCGCCACTTTATTTGCCGTCCTTCACAATGACATTAACATAACATCACTGCTGGTTCACTCACTCATATCAGCGTTTTTTTTTTACTAAACACCCGTACGAGACAAGGTCAATGGCACCAGGCGTCTGTTAGCAAAGTAAACAGATTTGCGATGAGTAACCGGCTTTGAAATAGAACACTTTCGTCGGGCGGCAACCGCAACACCTGGGAGCAGGTGTACCGTCGGTCGGCGCCTTTTAACTACTCGTAACTTATTATTTTAAAACGTCACACAATAAGATCGATAGAAGTTTTTGCTCCTTCGGAACATCGATCTTACAAAAATAACGCCCGTCAGTTCAGAGATATCGAAAGTGTTATATTTGTTCTTGCGTTGAGTTGAATTCTTTCGCCGGCCGGCTGATGGCATAGCAACGTTTGTTTGAACTTCTAGAAAAAATACCTTCCAACATTTTCTTTGTTAAATTAATGGACAACATTCATATTCACAACGAGGCTTTGATAAGATTTATTTTACCGACATCTTTCCGTTTGTATTAAGATTTTATCGCAAACATTTTATGTTTTTAACAATCGATACATATGTTTTGAACTGTGTCATATCATTAAAGAGTTTTTAGTGGATTTGACACATTCATTTATTTTATACTGTAATGTAATAGACTTTGAAAAACAATAATTTGATTCAAAGCTGATGAAGATGTTTTTGTAGATACAATTATTATTTCATTACTCTACAGCTGACTACAGTTATAAATTCGCTTAAATTTCTAAGTTTTATTGCAAGTTTATTTAGATGTTGTCTCTCATACTATGCTAATTCATATTCAAAGATTTATTCTGGTCGGCCATAATTGTTTTACACAAAATCCGATGCATTACCTACAATGCACCATTATACTATTTGGTACCTCTTTAAACAACTAATAGTATCAAAATATGTTCACAAGAGAGAGCGGAGATAATAGAGGAGCTCGATGGCGCGGGTGGTTAGCGCGTTCGGCTGCGATCGTTGATTTTAAGCAACTTTCGTAATGGTCGGTCATTGGATGGGTGACCAAAAATCTTCTATCTCGAGTTCCTCCGTTCTTCGGAAAGCACGTTAAGCCGTTGGCCGTTTATCTGCAGTCGTAAGCCGCCGCCAATCCGCACTGGGCCCGCGTGGACTAGGCCTGTGCCCCAGCAGTGGGGGCACTAATAGGCTGATGATGATGATGTTCACAAGTGCTGGTTTTGAAATAATAAACTTTAATTCTCTCAGAACTATGAAAAAGCCAGTTCTCAATAACTATTATCATTTTAAAATTAGTTAAATCTAGTATAGTAATGATAATGTGCGCAAACGCATATTAGCGTTTAAGCAAGTATGCGGCCGCATACATTACATATATGCGTTAATAACAAACAGTCGGACATTTTATATTAATGACAGAACTTGTTTTAAGTAATTTTCTACATGTGCACTTACATTCAATGTCCACTAGCTTGAGTTATATCTCTAAATCGTAATTAATTGCTACCAATTCAAGGTAGGGACAAAATATTGCATTACATGACCGTCATATACCTAAGTAGATGAATGTTAAAACTGCCACCTGTTAAGTTACAAGATCCTACGGCTAATTTAATTTGGCATTATGGGTTAGTTCTTTGCCCTAATTTTCTTTAAACATTATCCTCGTCAATTAGTATATGATCTCGTATGCATTTGCAATGTTCAGAATTTTGAATTAATAATATAATGAATTGGTTTTTTGAATTATAACAATCTAAATAATCATAGTTAAAATCAATGATATTTGATAGAAAATATTGAAATATTGAAATACAACTGCGGCTACATTGGGACACTTCACATACGATATTTGGTGCCCACATGTGAAAGTTTAGGTATAGCAAGAAGAGTAGGGTATAGAGGGTTTTGCGCTTGAATTAGAGCGCCGATCTGGGGTAGTAACCTCCACCGTACAGAGGAACATAGTATAATAACACTATTCACCTTTTGGTGGTGTTGCTCCCCCCACGACAACGACTTACTAGAGCCGAGGTCAGAGTCTCAGAGACGCCCTCTAGTTGACACCCTCAGGTTCGAGTGGTCTAGAAGCTCCAGGAGACTCCCCCCGTGGGGAGATGCTATCCGCCTGGAATACCTCTAGAGGCACTCGCCCATTCTCGGCTTGAGGTTCCCTTAGGATCTCGCCGTCCCCAACTCCGGTGACGCTGTAAGGGTCATCTGCGACCAACAGCATACACACTCAAAAAAATGGTAGTGTTGCGTTTCTGTCTGTGTAAGTAAGGTTCGAGGGCTCCACGGGGTAGGGGATTGGGTCAGGGTAGGCAACGGTGTGAGTGATATTTTCGGTATCGCGTCTAGGTTAGGTTAGGTTATGTTAGGTGGCCGCTTACCATCAGGCGGATTATACGCTTCTTTGCCAACATAAAAAATTATGACGGTACATTCAAAGTACTGTTTCATTTCGCTCTCACCGCAACAAGAAAGATTTATGATGATAAATGCAAAAAAAACGTTGAATGAAGTTATGGTTACGCTACATTCAGCGATGGCATCCTTAAATTACCGTTTACACCATTATCACCTTTTTTATAATTATGTTTGCGAACTGGCCGCGCGAGACTACACGGCAACATCAAACAAGCCAACATTAGTGCCAAGGATATTGCTTGTATTTAAATGGTAAATTAATTTATTTCAACAAAGAACCGTTCGTAGCCGTTGCATCGTTAAACGAGTATTTTGACAGCCTATAGTGGGAGAGTGTTGTGACACCCTGTTTACATGCGCACGCGCATGCTTTAAGCAGATTTAAGCAGCCTCTTCCTTAAAAAAGAAGAAAGTCATAATTTCATACACTATAAACTCAGATCAATCCAATCTCTGTAGCAGCAATCGAGGTTAATTAACAACAAGAGGGCCAGATAAATAATTAAATTTTGTCTAGTCACAAACAGTGGGGGAGGGAGCAAATATTAAGTGGCTTGGGATTCCAGATTTAAAAAAATGCCCCCTCTCGTTGTCCAAAATACAGCCCTGCTAAGATTCTCACCGCCCCAAGCCCAGGTTGCACATCTAAGTCTTTTGCTGCCAACAGCAATACACAAAAAGCAGATACATACAAGTGGTTAAGCGGGATATAAGATACCAATATAACTATACTAATTGCGAAATAAATAATAAAAATATATATCGAACATGATCATTAGAAAACAAAACAGATTCAACAAATATGTAAGTGAAATTTCAATTGACGACCTCCGTGGCCGAGTGGTTTATACACCGAGTTTCACGGTGTCGCCAACTCGAGGGGTCCCGGGTTCGAATCTCGGTGGGGGTAGGTGTTTGTGTAATGAATCCAAGCATTTGTACTCCAGTCATGAATGTTTAATATGTATTTGTTTATAAATATACTTATAAGTATATACAATGTATGTATTCTATCCGTTACCCTAGTAAGGATAACACAAGCCTTACAGTGCTTACTTTGGGGCAAAGCTAATTGGTGTGAGTGTTGGAAATATTTATTTATTTATATAAGTGCCCGACGTCGCATTACGTCGTTTTAATCCGTATAGCTCCATAATGTTCAAAGTATTTAGTTTAAATTGTTTTGAGGCAATTTAAATTGTGTTAAGAACTTGAGACCGAGAATTTTAATTCAATAATTATATCCGTTGCTCAGTTTAAAATGTTAACAATCGTAAAAGATAACATTGTATCAATTTGTTACGCGTTAAGCTTTTATTACATGTTTAATTGAAAAATGTACCAAATATTA